TAATAAATCTTGTTGGCCCTTGCGTCCATGCGCAAATAGCTCATTTTGCTTTTTCAGTTATGACAGATTGGCCGTGAAAAGAGGGAAGTAAGTGCTGTGCAATCCTGCTTCATGATATTGACTGAATACAAGCGAACAGGCGAGTCTCAGGAAGTAATTGAGGAGAAGAAGATTTGATCGCTGGGACAACACTTTTATTCGTCTCATGTTTTGACATTCCTTGCGGATGCTATTGCATTCTGCTCATGTCTCTGATGAAGAATCCGCGACGGATGTCGAAACGTCCGGCGAATAAAAGTTTTGTCCTAGCGATCGAATCTTCTTTTTCTCGATGTTGAGTGAATTAACAAACCGCTGCCTGGGCAACCCACTGATTATAGCTTGAGCCAGACCAACTATAGGATCATTCTGAAAGCAGAATACTTTGACGGCGGAAGAGATTTCTCTTCTTAGAAAAGCAATAAGTGGACTGAATTTTTCCACATCTCCAACTTTCCGGTAATGAATAGTTCAAAGGAACCAAATATACACAGGCTTTCTATAACGAACAGGATTTAAATATAGGGTAGCTGTCTTTCTTTGATGTACTTAACGGAGAACTCAAGTCAATTTGGGAAAATTTCTGAAACTATGACGTTGCAAGGACAAATAAGCCCTGAGCAGCAGTTTTAGAAAGCAGTACTTCGGATGGACGTCGATAAAGCTTCGTTAAGGAGAATATTTCTTCTGGATTTTCTGCCACTTAAGCTGCGTCCAAAATGTTTGTCCTGGACACGTCCACTAAGACTTTATTACCGGATATGAGCAATTAGCAGCCTCGTTTAACACCAAACACTGTTGTCAACTTTCGATTTCTTCTCATTGACGTGCAGTGTAACATCATTATTCGGTCCTGCACAATAAAAGGCCGTAGTGGACGTGAATGATCTTATGCAAGGCAACTTGTACAGAGCCGCTAATTGGGCGTACCAGGCAAACTTACGTTTTGAATGTAGAGGAAACCTGTTCATGCAAAAACCCATTGAATAAATCAGCACAAGTAGAACTACGTTGGAAAATAATCGGTTTGGAAAATTTTCGAATACATAGGCTTCCATATTACGTTCAATGTAACGTATGCCTGTTACCGAACAGTCCAAAACTGCAGTACGCATGCCAAAACGGTTTAATGCGAATTACCAATTGTTGTAATTGAGCCGCTATCTTTACTCAACTCCGGCAATTTGTTACATCAAAGTTTGCACACCTATGCTTCTTAGCATGCATTAAGTCATTAATCGACCGTTTATTTGTAACATCTTATTGGCCAATAGAAGCGGAAATGCGAGTCCCAGGTATTAATTGAGAAGAAGCAGATGCGATCAGCGGGACAAGAATTTTATTCACCTGACGTTTCGCGTTCCATTACCAGTGATAATAGCATAAACGGATAATTCATACACAGGGAATTTAAAGGATGCAGTCGCTATGCTACTACATGCCTTAGTCGGGAGGAGCTGTTAACTGTCAGAAATATGCAGTAGCACGGCGACTGTATCCTCTAAAGACTGCGACCTCGTGTATGAATAACCCGCTTCTGCTGATGTCTCTGATAATGGATCCGCGACGGAATCCGAAACCTCGGGTGAATAAAACTCTTGTCCTAGTGATGGCGCTCTAATTCCTCTCAAGTAACATTCCAACGCTTCCGTTTATTCGAAACATCTTAGTGGCCTCTACCACGCCTGATATGCGCACGTTTTACAAACATCTGCCTTACTGTAGCTCTGTGTGCGATGTAATGGTTTGACGTCATATGCAAAGAGGTATACCAGCGGCTCACGTGGTGGACACAGATGAGATTTGCATTGCGCCTGGCACTCTACTCCTCTCCACCCCCCCCACCCCCACTGTGTCCTAGCAGCAGGATGAGGAGAAAATGACTGGTAATAGGTGCCAACAGTTGCACACACACACACACACACACACACACACACACACACACACACACACA